TCTGAGGCCTCTAAATGCTGCAGCTCAGTTTTACCTCTGAGCATAATATATGACATGAACTCGATTATGTTTTCAAGGTCAGAAAAGACACTGTAATGTGATGGCTTTTATACTGTATATTTTAAAATGAAACATGGGTTAGTGAGGTGGCTCAGAAGGTAAAGCCACCAAGCCTGATGACCTGAGTTCAATACCGAGACCTATACAGTGGGAAGAGAGAACCAGCTCCTCATAGGCTGTCCTCTGACCTCCACAGGTGGACTATCCTCTCCACAAACAGAGAGAAATAATTATAAAAACAATTAAAATAAGCATGCATTGTTCCAAATATAAAATTGTAATTTTTGTTCAGTATTTAATGAATACAAACATGAAATAAAAAATATGGAAACAACGAGACTAGTTATCCTTTATTTCTCCGAGTGTCGGTGTTCTGAGTGATTTTCCCCTCTGTTTGCTTTCATCCTTCAGACTCTCTGAGAGGAATATGTATTGCTTTGAGAAAAAACTTTGTTTCATTTTTTCATGTTGGCCGGTTCTGCTGGACAGGCTGAACCCTGACCTGTCTGTACTGTCCCACATGATCAAGGAGGTCTTTGATGCTCTCCATGCTTGTCATGTCTTTTGAGGACACAGCCCATGAGAATGTTTCTAGTTCAACATCTCCCTCTGCTCTATGGATACAATGTCTGGACAGGGATGGGCATGCAGAGTCTGGTCCCCAAGGAGCCTGCTGGCTCACAGATTTCCCACAAGGTCCTGTCCTGAGAGATCCATCTTTGGGAGCAAGGGAAGGGGGACCCTTAGTAAAGGCACAAAAGGATGGCAGGTGACAGCTAACTTTTTGTTGTTTGATTTATTTATTTTTTTGTTTTTGCATCTCGACCAATGCAGACACTAATTTTTATGATTTATGTTCTTCCTCCTCCAGCAGCTCATCAGAAGAAAACACTCCTATTTCTTCTACACTATTATTCCAAATGACTTCTAGAAGCCTCTGAAACCTCTTATTTACAGAGTTTTATTAAAAGATTTCCACAAATGGCCCCCGGAATCAGGATGTAATGCACATGGTGGTAACTGTCCTGAATACAAGACTTTGGAGTTTGCCAGAGAAAAGAGAGTGCACAATGCCCAAAAAGAAGAGCTAATATCACCCACACCCCATACCCCCAAACCCACTCCCCCACCTCCCCACACCCATGGGAAAATGCTACCTTTTGAGGACATAGAATGCTGTCTCCAAGGTCTATGATACAAACCCACTCTGGAAGCCTGGGAAGTCACAGGGCCTCCTTAGCTGCTGTGTCTGCTCAGGTGAAAGCCTCATCAGGAAACAATGTGTGTGATTTTCCTTAAACTGGCAGCATTTCCATCTAACCCTCCGTCACTCCCTGTCCTAAGGGCCTAAGCACCACACAGCTAACTCGGAACTTTGGGAATTTTCCATGCGAGTTCTCACTTCTGTGTCTGTATTCACAGTGTTCACTTGCCCTAGGGTCACCCTTCCCGGCTCACTATCAGGTGAAGTCATGTGTAACCTCTAAGCTTCACATTCTTTAGGCAGTGATAACCTCAGGTCAAGGTCATTGCACACTGCTCCCAGAACTCGGAGATTTTCCCTCATAACACTTCCCCAGGTCGAGGGGGGAGACGGGGCCTTATTCTTGTGTCTTATAAACACTGAGCATTGCTTTTGCACATAGTGGAAATCAAGCAAAGGTGTTTTGGTCAACTGATCAAGTGGAGAAGAAAGAAATAGAGGCAGGCTGGAGCGGGGAGGGACACTGGAGACATGGACAAATGGGACCAAGGAAGGACAAGAAATAAAGGAGCCCAGGAAAGAGTGTCAGTTAGAAAATCCTTAAAATGCACCATGACAAAATATCTTTTAGGGAAAAAATGCGTTTTCCTATTTGAGTCTAAATGTTCATTTTGTTCTTTTCGAGGGATGGCTGGGTTGTTTTGAGAAAGGCTTCATGGTATAGGCTAGGCTGACCCTAAACTCTGTCCTGCTTCATAGCCCTAGTGCTGGGGCTGCACTACCATAACTGGCCCTAGGTTTTCCCTGCCATTTCTCTGCTTATTTTCAGCCCTGGGGAGCCCTGGTGATAATTTTGAGTATATCCAATGATTGCAAGATGCTCTTTGGACATGAGCCTTTCTCTTGATACTATTTCCAGGTATTGTAATCATGAAGTCACTGTTTCCCCAGAGAAACACCTGACACTCCTTTCTCTATAGCCTATGAATACTCCACAGTTTGTGCAGCTGGGACCCTTACAGTCTTCTTGGAAGTTGTTCACAATGCTAATTCACACCTTCTGACTGCTGCAACTGAAGGCCAGCCCAGAAAGCTATCCCTCCAAGGACAGTGAGGGATTCTTTAATGTTTATTTTGACACTGTTGAAAATCACACTCCAGCAACCAAACAAGAGAAAACACTGTTATCCTTCTACACTGTTTTCCCAAAAGGTGTCTAGAAGGCCCTGAAACCTTTTATTTATAGTTTTATTCAGGTTTTCACAAATTCCCCTCCCACCCTTGAAATCAGGGGCATAACCCACATAATAGTGACTGTCCAGAACACAAGACTTTGGCCTTTGCTAGAGAAAGGACATAGCACACTCTCCAGAAGGATGAGCCACCCCCAAATGGTGGAAAATGACACTTTATAAAGGCAAGAAGTAAATGAAATTACATATTTTTAAAATGTGGTCAGTTTGTCATATAAAATTATTAACACAGAATTCCTGAGTCAAGACAGTAGATTAAATACACGTGCAACGTCTTATTTCCTCTCTAAATTGAATTAATATACAGCAAAGGCTTTGTTTGTGTTTTTTTAAGGATATAAATCCATAAAATTTATATAAAATAGCAACAACATTTTGGGAGCTAAAAAGTAGACATGTGAGCACTGGTGCTAACCGAAGGTCAAGTTAGCCAAGAAGAAGCTGAAAGCCAGAATAATCCTCCTGAGACAATGTGCAAAGACCTTGAGACTAGCAGCACCTCACAGACTCTGTGTGGAAGTCTGAGAGATGACAGGCTACAATAAAAAAAGACCTGAAAAAGATACTGCTGTCACCAGGCAACTGGTACAACCCAACAGAACCTAGAGACTACTCTCTGGAGAAGAAGGGCCTTTTTACTATATCATGAAAGTAGAAGCCACCCAGCCTTCTTCCTCATCCCAGACCTCCATAGCAAGGTATTGTGGGTGAGAGCTTAGGTTATTTGAGTCTCATCTGTCCTTGTGATTCGAATGTATTTACCACCCACTGTCTCAAAATGGGAACAATCAAAGCATGAATTTACTGTGTAAGAATTAAACAAGTACAAATAAAGCAAATAATAATAAATATTATTATTATTGACCTATGCAGTACTTGATAAAGAATAGCTGTTGTCATGATCACTACAAGTAAGTGGTGGCTACACAAGAGCCTTTTTTATAAGCTTTTTCTATCTGAAGCGTCTAGCTGTGCTCAGTCCTCATGCAGAAGATGTCTGATGGCCACAGCGTCCCATCTTCCCCTAGCTAGTTGTGGAGTTTGGATGAAGCAAGTGACATCTGTAACAACTTGTCCAAATCTTTCACAACCAAGATGGGTTGTGAGGCATGGCTCGCTAACATCACATGCTGAGCTTGTGGTAGGCTGAGATCAGCACAGCTACCTTCATCACCAGCCAGCATCATACCGCGTCCTGGGCGGAAGTGTGAGAATGGCTCCCTGAAAACACAGATGTCACATGGCCATCGGATGAGGAGCTGGGAGAAGTGAGTTCCAATGGCATATCTGAGACCCGCCCAATGGTCCTCTAGTTCCCTGTAACCAGCTCCTCACTCAGGCGCCGTGGGTGCTTGTTGGTGCGCCCTTAGGTCCCATAGAGCAGTGCTTCTCAACCTTCCTCATACCATGACCCTTTAGTACAGTTCCCCGTGTGGTGGTGATCCCCTCCCAGCCATAAAATTATTTTTGTTGCTACCTCATAACTGTGATTTTGCTATTGTGTTATGAATTGTAATGTAAATATCTGTGTTTTCCGATGGTCTTAGACGGCCCCATGAAAAAGTTGTTCCACCCCCCAAAGGGTCACAACTCACAGGCTGAGAACTCCTGCCATAGAATTACGCAGAGGAAAGAGGCCAGTCATAGGGTAACGAGTCTACTCGGAACACACCGCCTCATTTAACTCCAGGGCTAGTGCTGGCCGGCTTATGCTTCCCATCTCCTTGTCTGGGCAGGACCCGTAACAATGTTATCTCTTTTTAAAACATATGCCTGAACTCGTTCCTGTTCCAGACAACTGGCAGGTGCCCAGTTAATAGATTATTTCACCAGACAGCTGAATGCATTGGCCATTGATCAAAAATGAGATCACCGCAATCCTCTGTGCTGTCACTGGAGGAGCCCGGTGAGAAACAACTGGCTATCTGCTAACAAACGGCAGACATCCCATCATCCTCCGTTTGCCTCACCTGGTGTCTGGTCCCCAGCAAAGGAGGGTCTGTTTGAGTCAGGCTGGTTTTATTCTTCGTCCCCTCAGGTTGGTGTGTGAACTGCCTATTCGTGTCCTCCATCCACAAATCCCCAGACAGACTCTGGCTGATCTATGGGAGTGTCTGGCCAACATCCCAGATCCCTGGCCTTCCTCTCAGACCTGCGCAGCTGGAAAGAACAAATCAGGAGACCCCCTGTCCCGGATGTCTAGATTCTGGTTTAATTTACTTACATGTGGATATGGGTAATACGACACATGTGTAGTAAAAGGGGAGGGAGGAGGGAGGAGGGGGGAGGAGGAGAGAGAAAGAGGGAGGAGGGAGAGATACGGTTGTTCCTGAAGCTGTGACTCAGATGTTGCACTGTGACCTGGGGTAGGTAAGATGTACAGTCTGATGCCCAGTGACTCACCCCAACTCTTTCATGAAGTATGTAATGCTTCCCTAAGCACCTCCATTCCTTGCAAACAAGAAAATTCAGGAGGAAGACTTTCAAAGCCACAGCTGTAACCCGTCTTCCTTCCTTCTGCCTAAGAAGGTCTGACTGAACTTGTAGCCGGACTCCACCCAGGGCTGGCCCTCTGTGAAGGCATTGTGAGATCCCTTGCCAGCTGAGCTTGTGCAGACGGAATACCTGAGAGCCGCTGCCAAAACAGGAAGGCCGGCGCCTCTCTGGGGGGAGCCTGGGGAGGATCAGCCACCCAGGTCTGCAGACTAGGGGTCAAGGGTGACAGTCCTCTACCTCTACTGAGGTTCTAGAACCTTTTCACAGAGCCCTCATCACTCTGGTCCCTTCATTTGTTCAATTAACCCTGCCTAGGCCCTAACCTGTTGCTGGGGGACACAGGTGCTTGAGGTCTATCCCTGTCCCCCAGAGCATTCTTGTTGTCGTGACAAGCCACCAAAGGGACAATCCCAGCAACTGGGCCTCCTCTGGAGCCCCACCCTCCTCTCAGTCCCACTGTGACACCCCAGCAGTGTTCCCCAGGTCGCTGCCAAAGCAAATGAACGGTGTGAAGTGGGGGACCAGGCAGGGGAATCCAGGCAGACCCAAATTCACTTCTCCCTCAGCATCGTAGAGCTTCTGGATTCTGGCCCAGTGTCTAACAAGAACTTGTCTTACAGGCCCTCTGTGGTGAGTGGCATATGCTGAACTCCAATATAAATGATGAATAAACTCTTCAAGACTAAAATGCCCATGATGCCTGCCTCCAACTCATCCAAACACCTACACATTATCTATGTCCACAAGGCATCAAGTCTTTAGCTAGATAAACTAACATACAATTAGTGGTAAAAATTTTAGTATACCAAGAGAGTTTAGGACAGCGACAGAAATGATCTGGGCCAAGTCAGAAACCCCCATACACTGCTCATTCCAAGGACCCAGCCATAGAAATAGAAGGAAAGCAAACCAGAAAGAGAGGAAGCCAGTAGAGGAATCAGGTATGGAGATAGATGGAGGGAAGCAGAAGACAGGCAAAGCAATAATACTAAAGCATCGTGGCGGCACCCCCTTTAATCTCAGCACTCAGAGGTATAGGCAGGCAGATCTCCAAGTTTAAAGCCAGCCTGATCTACACAGCGTGTTCCAGACCAGCTAGGGTTTTCGGGTGAGACCCTGTCTCAAAACTAAAGAAATGCTATTTGTCAACTTACTCTTCGTTTTTATACTGCGACCTCAAATATTGAAGTTTTGCTGCCCCCCTCCAGCAGCTGCAATCCTTCTGTTTCTAAGATGGCATACCTTGTTAGGGAATCCTAGGGATGGCAGAAATGCTCACCTACAGCTTTCAGCCTGCAATGCAGAGGAGACATCCAGCTCCTAGATTTGCCTCACCACCACGCCTCAAGGAGGCTGCTGCTGGAGGCCCCAGAGGTGAGAGGTAGGCTGCACAGGGAGTAGCCTGGATGGCCTGACACCAACGCCACCTGATTTTGGACCCAGGTTTAGCATTCCTTGGCTGAGCTTGTCCATGATCTCTGTTCCTGGTGGCACTAGGGGAAGCACGCTTTGTCACAACCCTGCCTGGTGTTCACAGCTCTCCATCTCATCTCTTGTTTCCCCTTCAAGGGGCTCAGCTCTGACCATCTGACCATCTGACCATGCAAAAGAAGGCTGGCTGAGACCTTGGGGTCTCAGATCCTCTGGATCTGAAAGAATGGAAGTAGGATAGGGACTCCACCTTCATCCAATGGCACACGGTGATAGCAGGTGCCTCTGAGAACACACTGGTGGTCGAAAGTACCTGAGATCACACTGGTCAAGCCCCATACTATGTAACCTCAGGGAATTTTACAAGCTCTTTGGAACCTCAATTCCCTTGTCTATAAAGTGGGAATTGTCATGTCAACACCACACACACACACACACACACACCACACACTTGTTGTTTCAAGGGTGACTAGGGTAATACGTGTAGAGTGCCTGCAGCTGGTGATGCTTGCTGTGTCCTCTCACATGTGCGTGTGCACACACAATACACACACACACACACACACACACACACACACACACACATGCACGCACGGCTGCACGCACGCACACACGCACGCACTGAGCAAGGATGTGTGAGTGTAACTCTTGGCTGGGTGTCAGTCACTTGAGAAGTCTGAAACAAAGATCAGCCCCCCTACTCTCAGCACATTCTAGGCCACTCTTGACTCCAGGTCTCGTGAGTCTTTGCCCCCACTGTACTTCACTGTCCTTCTCTGAAAAAGGCAGGGCAAAGGCCTGGACAAGCAAAGGACACTGGGCAGGGATCTCCCACCCCAAAGCAGTTTGGAAATACAGACGGACAGTCTCCACCCAGAGGTCCGGGACTGAGCCAGGGCTTGGGATTTGCTCTGGTTTCCCTCAGGCTCTATGGGTGCTTTTGGGTACAGGCAGGGTTCAGGGGCCTGGGGACCAAGGCTGGAGTGAAAGTCAGGGACCCTCACTGAAAGTGTTCTTTGTCTACTCCCAGACTCAGCCTCTCTCTGCTGGACCAGCAAAGAGCCAGCTGCACACAGAGGCTTGAGTTCTCAGAAACCACTTCCCCTCTCTAGGCTGCTACTTCTGCCTCTCTGAATTAACCTTGCTCAGCCCCTGTCCAGTGTTGTTTATGAGGGTCACTTGAGAGCATGTGTGTGACAGTCCTTGATGAATAGCATCATCCATCCCTGGTTCCAATGCAAAGTGTAAACACCAGCTGGGAGGAGCAGTCCACACACAGGAGTGAGCATTTCCTCCTAGGACTGGGGAAGGGAAAAGGGTTGAGTGAGCTGCTCTGGGATAAGGCCTCCTGCCCAGAGGCCAGAGAACAAACAGACTACAACTCCACACAGAGGCCACTGAGGGCACTGCAAGGCCCTTCAGGCAGGCCTACCCACAGCCTGGGAAACACTTGGAAACAAAGCATACGAAGTTGGTGTCCACCACAAGGGGCCAGCCAGATGGGAAGGCACCAGACTGGGACACCACATTGGGTACAAGACAGGTAGGTATATGGGCAATAAAGGCATGGAGGCATCCCTCATGGTTGCCACAGACTAGCCAACTGCACCTGCAAGAGCAGAAAAGGCCTTGCAGTCTGGCTATCTTCCACTCAGTGGACTCTCCCTACATATCAGTATTTACTGCCTATCTCCATAAGCCAGTATTGAGCAACTACGGAAGACCCAAGCCTTGCCCTTCTTAGCCACCATGTAGGCAGACTCCAAGTTCTAGATGAGCAGCCGAAAGGTATGTGTTCACCTGCTTCACAGGATGCAGATCATGCCTATAAGTATAAACCTGCTCAAAAGCCCATGGTTTGGGGCATAGGCCTTAGGCAGGAACCCAAGTCTGTCAACACCCAGATTTTTCCTCTCTTGGATGCTGAGCCAGCAAAGAGCTGAACATGGAGGCCTGGGTCCCTAGACATTACTTCCCCTCTCTAGATTGCTACTTCTACATCTCTGAGGTACAGCAGTAACCCTGCCCAGCCCCTGTAACAGTGTGGTTTTACTAAGTGGACATATTGCCAGGCTGCCTTCTAAATAGTGATATATATATACCCATAGATTTGTGCTGCCCTCAACCTTGGCCAGGGACTCACAAGGGGTCAAAGTGCTAAAATTAAGTGACTATTGAGTGTTCCATCCCACCCTCAAGGCTCAGAGACCATCTCAGACGAGAGGCAGAAAGGATGTAAGAGCCAAGGTGTGGAGAGGAGCGCTGTGAGACGCTCTCTTCTGGACATACCATGGTCGTTATGGTTACCTACAGAAGACTTGTCAACAAAATCAGCAGTTGACATTCAACAGAAGGTACCAATTGGCCCCAGTGGGTTTCCAAAGCAACAACAAAACCTGAGCAGACTAGAAGGTGGCAGGAGGATGCTTAGGAGATATAAAAAGGAGTATCAATGATCAAGATACATTGTTTACATGTATGAAGTTGTTCATAAATAAAAGATAATCCTACCTTTAAAAGATAATAAGATATATCATAACGTTTAAAAGTAACAAATGGAGGGTATGAGTTTGCTTGACTTTAACTCAGGGTGGTATATGGACCACAGGGACTGGCTGTATGGGAGCTGGGCTGGAGAAATCTTGGGAAGCAGATGAACCAGGGCAGTAGGGATGATGAGGAAGAAGGCACATGGTACCCACTGACAGCAGAGGACTGAGCCCCATGCTCCCCTGACCATATGAGGAAGAGGAAGACCAAGAGGAGAGCCAAGGCATTAAATCACAAAATAAAGAGGGAAACGCTATTTAAACCAGTACATACAGCCAATGTACAAAACGAGTCAGGAATCATAGATGAAAGCTGAGCATGGCAGGACATGTCTTTAATACCAGCACCTGGGAGACGGGGGCAAGAGGCTCAGAAGTTCAAGATGATCCTTAGCTACAGAGTGAGTTCCAGGTCAGCCTGGATGGCAGTGAGACCCCACAAGAAACAAAAAGCAGAAAGGAATCGGAGTTGAGCAAAGGTCCTGGATTCAGAGATGAAGAACTCAAGGACCCTCGGAAACAGCCGTTTCAGCAGAGAGGAGGGCAGGCATGCTTCTGCACCCTCTTTATAGCTCCCAAGCAGTGACTTTGGCCTTCACATAGCCAAAAATAAGCTCCTAGCCTCACGAAGCAACTTCCACTTGCTGGATTCTGCTTGAGATGAGCCTGCCCCAGGCCCTGTTCACTGACTGAGAGGAGACACCAGAGGACCAGAGTGGAGCAGAGTATGCGATGTAGGCTGCGAAACGCAGGGTATGTCGAAGAACCTTGGCAAACGTCTTCCTGGATAACCAAAGGACTAAGCTTGAAGACTCACAGTTTTGTCTTAAAATGTAGAACCTAGAATTAAAATGTACCACATGTCACTTCGTTTTCTAAAATGTATTTTCTCTATATTTGCCTGACTTTCATGGCAGTGAGATCATTTTGGCCCAAGACTCATCTTACATAAATGAACATATGAGCCCCCAAATGGCATTTTAGGAGTTTTAAGACAAATGTTTGAAAGTGTCATGTCTAAACTGCCATGCTGTTCAGCTTTGTGCAGTAGCTGTGCTTTGGGAAAGACAGGACAGGAGGTGAAAAAAGAAAGAGGGACCCTCACTGCCAGCCAGGACATAACCAGGGGGTGAGGAATGGAGGTGGTGAGGAAAACCAGGGCAAAGAGAGAACATGACACAGAGGGACACCTTGAGAC